TAGATGATGTGGCTTACCATATTAGTGGAATATGGTAAGTGCCGTATGGAATATGGAACTCTCCAAACTTTCCTTTTTTTTTTTTTTTTTAATGCAGTGCACAGAAGCCCGACAGAGGACTTGTCCAAGGTCTCATTGCAAATGAAATAGCTGAGATCAGACCCTGGGGTTCCTCACCTCCAGAGTGACACTTCACTTGCATGTTGGGCTGATGCTCTGCCCTATTTTCTTTAGAGTGTCTAATAAAACAAATATTTTCTATCTATATGCAGAGAGGACAAAAACGAGGAAAAACCGTAATAACACAACAGTCTCCAGTGCTACGGAAACTATTGCAGCCACTGAGGAGGCTGTAAGGGCCATTAGTGAGTATGTAATAGAAAGTAGCTCTGGAACTATGGCTTATTTCAGCAGAGTTGCTTTTGTCAGAAGTTGCTTCTTTGCTTTTTCTTTTATTTTTTCTGTCTGAAAGACGTATTTTCTTTAGGATTTCTGCTCTGGCCTAAGGCTGGGCGGCCATCTCCCTTCTGTTCCTGCAGTTCATTTAGGCCGCACGTCAAGTAGTTATCAGTCAGAGTGGAAACACTGACACCTTGATAAATCATATGGCCGATTAAAAAAAAACTATTATTGGCGCTGGCGAGATAGTATAGCTGGAAACAGGCTATACTTTAAGCAAAATGGCTGTGGATTGGAGCACTCATAACATTATGCAAATCAGTTGAAAACTGAGAAGTTCAGTCAATTAATCAATTTGCTGCATATGATACCAACTGACATTTTTCTTTTTAAACCTTATTTGTCTCGTGGAATTGACTGACTTTGGGGCCTGAATTGACTTAATTGCATAGTTTGTTTTGATATATGGTGCACAGTGATTGCTCTGTTGGAGCAAGATCAAATGCAACAAATAGGCCATGAATATTAGTGGACAGCTTCAGTTGGTAGATTGCTGTCTAAGCTTTTCCTTTCAAAATAACTTACTGCTGCCAACCTAGTAGTTTGTTGGTTTAAAAAGCATGTCAGTAATAGAGAGTACAGCATTCTGTCCAGTGAATTAAATTTTAATGTATCACATCAAATCACTAGATCAGTTAATTCAGGACTGGTTTTGATTGGTAAGGTTATGATGACCTTTGAAATGTAGGAAACAAGCTATTCTGAGATACCTGTCTTTGGTCTTTTGCTTTGAAGATTTTCCTTAAATTAACAGCATTAAATTATATTTTCTAAAAACTATAAAAGTATTATTACAACGCATAACTATTTTTAATGGTAACATTGTATTCCCTTGTATTAACGTAAAACAGTTCACTTAAATATTCTGTTGTCAGGTTGTTTCTTGTTATTGATTATTATAAATAGTGCTCAGTTGAACATCTTTGTACATTAAGTTTTTTTTCTGTGTCGTAAATCATTCTTTTAAGCTAGCACCCCGTAATTATACTAGAATTATTTAGTCAAAAGTTACAGATGTTTTTCCGGCTTCTGAGACAAACAGCCAAATTATTTTCCTGGAAGGATATCCTTATTAATATTTACTCTGACAAGATTCATGAAGATTTATCTCACCACACCTAAGGCAGTATGAAATATCACATTTCTTTTTAAAAAAATGCTATTTTAACTAGTAAAAATTATAGCTTTTTAAATTTGCATTTTTCGATTATTCTTGTTCCCCACTTATATAGTGGGATCTCACTGCTTTTTTCTCATAGAGTAGTATAAAATCATTACATACTAATTAAATTAATTTTTTGTCTTATGTATGATAAACGTTATTGTTCATTTAGTCTGTGCATTTTATTTTTCTTTTGTGTTTTTTTAATAAAACCTCTAAATTTTTATATAACCACATCTATCATCCTGTTGTTATTTTTTACATTGTGTTTAAGCTTGAGAATCAAATATAAATAGATGGTAAAGACATCGATTATAGTGTTTACTTTTAACAGTGCTATTGAGGTATAATTTACATACCATAAATTCATTTGTTTTAAGTATCTAATCAGTTACTTTTAGTAAGTTCAGAGTTGTGCAACCCTCACTACAATCTAAATTTGGAACACTTCTATCACCTCAGAAGAAGCTTCATGCTGATTTTCAGTCACTCCTAATTTCTATTCCTAGTCCTGGGCAAACACTAATCTACTTTCTGCCTGTAGGGATAACTTTCTGCCTGTAGGGATAACTCTAAATATTCTGTAGAAATGGAATCGTACAATATGTAGTCTTTTTGGACTGATTCCTTTAATTTACTATAATGTTTTCAGGGCTTAGTTGTAGCCTATACAAATATTTTATTCGTTTTTACAGCTGAATAATAGTCCATTGATGGAGATACCACATTTTGTTTATCCATTTATCCTTTGATAAACATTTGGGTTGTTCTTTCCTTTGGACTATTATGAATAAAGGTGCTATGAACATTCACACAAGTCTTTGTGTGGACATATAGTTTTACTTCTCTGGAGTATGTACCTAGGAGTGTCATGGCTGGGTTGTATGGTAAATTTATGCTTAACCTTTTAAGAAACAGCAAATTACTTTCCAAAGTGGCTGTGCCATTTTCCACTCTCATCAGCATTGTTCCAGTTTCTCTGCATCCTTGACAGCACTTATCATTGTCATTGTCAACTTTTTATACTACACTCCTTCGCTTGTCTCTTTTGGTTTGCTCTGTAATGCAAGGTAAGGATTCAAAATAATTTCCCCCTATCCCATTTGTTTGTTGTGTCTTGTTATTATATTAAATCTATAATTAAATAAAATATTTTTATATCTTTTTTCTCCCAATATCTCCTTTTCATATTCTTCAATAAAACTTCATCTTTTTCCTTCTCATTCAAACAAAAACAAGCATTTCCTTGAAATTTGTCCATATGAAATGTTAGAATAAACTAATGTGACAATTTATGTGTTAATTTATTATTATTATTGTTATTATTATTATTAGTGACATTGGTTAACAAAATCTAGTAAGTTTCAGGTGTACAATTTAACAGGAAGGCATATATATATTGCAATGTATGTTCACTGCCCTAGTTAGATCCTTATTTGGGGCAGTGATGGGGTAAAGAGAGTTTATGCTTCTGAGATTCTGTACCTAAAGTTTGACTAAGAGGTAACCATTAGTCTATTGTAATGTGACAATTTAATGAGCACTGACTGCTTTAAATCTTTTTAAAAGAAGTGAGATAAAAATCCTTTTTTAAAAATCCTACAAATGAGTAGGTTTATCCTCAAAGTCTTTACCACGACTATTCTGATGAGGTTATCCCTGAAGGTATTTGGGGACTGTTCTTTTGGAATATTGCCCTGCGGAGTCTGTGGCATAATATTTTGGCTCTCTTTAGTAGTTACTATGTTTGTGGCAGGTGAAGTTTATTTTTAGAAGGAGCATAAAGTCGTTTGTAACCAAACATACTCAGTAAGGCAAGTAATAGTATTGAACCAGATACATGGACTGGATGGAACACACACTGACACACACACATGTGCACACATGCACACACATATGGGATGGCTTCTTCTGTGTGTTTCCTAGATTAAACAAGAAAACAATTCCAAACATAGATATATCAATATTTTTAAGTGATAACACTATTAGTTAAACAAGGGAATAACTTTCTATAGTTTACCACTTTAAAGATTAAAAACATTCGAATAGATGTTTTAGTTCTAGCATGTCTATTTAAAAGTTTATCTCACAATTTGATAGTGACATTTAAATTCACAGTTAACTTTGATCATTCTAAGTTCAAAGTTTCATTCATACTGAAAATGCTCCTCTAGGAGGTTCTGATTACAAAGTCAGGGGTATATTGGAAGAAGAAGTCTGTACTTTGGTTTTAAGCTCCCTACTGGGCATATAATGAGTTTCTGGTCTCACTGGCCCCGTGTGTTGAACTTGATGAATATCGAGCATATCTATGCTTCTTGTAGGCTTCTTCGGAATGCTAATGATTCGCAGTTTCTACAAAAATGCTTGGAAAAATCTCTTTCTTTTGGTGTCCTCTCACCGTATCTGTATTCCAAAAGAGTGTTGGATTGCCAACACCGAAGCTCTCCTGAAGGCTGAAAAGCAGACTTTCAGAGTTGATTGGAACAGAGATGGAACTGCCTCGCTGTGTTATGAAGGCGAGCAAGGGAGAGTTCAAAGACTCTAACTCTGCTGCCTTCCAGGTGGAGTGTAGTCAGAGCAGCCTAGACCGTGGACTTTGACGTGCTTCTGACCCTTTCCTGGGCCTCAGTTTCCTCGACTGCAAACTGGGCACAACATAAAAAGTATCTTTCTCACAGGGTGTTGAAAAATTGAAATGTAATAACACTCAGCACAGTGTGTGGCACATATTAAACATTCAAATGATGGTAACTCTTATTGTTGTCATTATTATCAGTCATCATTATCTTTGTACCCCCCTTTAGCACCATCACAGTGCCTGTTTAATAGGAGCACAATAAATGGTGACATATTACTATCATCCTTGTATTCTTGTCATCATTTAGCACAGAGCCTGGCATACAGCCAGTGTTCAATGAAAAAATATTAAATGAGTGAAAAAAATCCAGTTTAATGATGTGGCTGCCAGATGTAATTCATATTGGATTTTCAAAAAAAAAATGATGTTTAACATCATTTAAAAAAATTTTTTTATAAGAGTGTATTTGAGCCAAGCTGATGACATATGCCAGGGAGCAAGATCTCAAATGCTCTGGAGAAGGACAGTTTTGCAGCTTCTTTAATGTCTTTGAAAGTAAGGAGGGGGACATCATTTTAAAATTAATAGAACCTTTCTATTCTATTATGTGTTTTGAGAGAGGCAGTAGAATGTGGTTGTTACAAGCACAGATGCTAGGGCTGCACCACCTGGCTTCAAATCCTGGTTGTGTTTCTTATTTGCTGTGTGACCTAAGACAAGTTACCTTCTCTCTCTGTGCCTCATTTTCTTTATCCGTAAAATACTAGTGCCTTCCTATAGGGATTAGAGAGTTTACGCATGAAAGTGAACTGGCAAATAGTAACAGCCCTATAAGTAAGTGCTAGGGAAGGGAAGAATTTTAAAAAGGGAGAAGGCAGAGCCGCCTCCTCTGAGAAGCATTCTGGTCCTCAGGGATCCACCTACAATCACAAGGCAGGCGAGAACTTGAAGGCGAAGCCAATCATACGTGAAGAATTTAGAATAGCAATGGTGGCTTTTTGGTACATGTTTAATAACCAGCTCTCTGGGAGGAAAAAGCCACGATTGATAGTTTCTCTAATTTCTGTGTTGTAAGTATTCCTACCAAGGCCGATTTCAAGCCACCGTGGTGGCATTGCTGAATGTGGCACTGGGAACAGATGCATACAATTGGTTCTTGCAGGCTGATGTGAGCGGGCTCTGGGGCACTACTGAAGAGAAGCTTCAGGAATCCAGAGGAGAACTCTACACATTGGTGAGATGGACTGTGTGCTTTCAAATCTCAGCGGTTGGAGAATTTTATCTGGTTCTGGGGATAAGACAGTAAGCCAGAGGGAGGGTCTACATTCTTTGCAGAGTCTACTGCTTAAAAAAAAATTCCCCTTTTCACCTGATCCCTAAGATCATCCAATAAGTCAGTTTCTTTGACCATTCAAGCCTTGACCTTGAGATTGCCAGTGGATAGGACAATTATGGAGATGGTTCAGGTTTGCTGAGTTTGAGAGAGAGGTAGAAGGATGGGATCCTCATTACCTCCTAAGGTACCCTTCTTTAGGCATCTCAGAGAGAAAGAATCACACCAGAGTCCGAAAGAATCTTGGGCCCAGACTCCTGGGGTGACTTTATGAAAGCACTTAAAGTTGTCAATTCTCATGTTTCCCATAACACAATGGGTGGAAAATATGGCGGTTGTCCTGTACAGCAATGATTTCCTACTGCCTGCCTTCCAGGTGCATGAGAGGATCAGCTTCCTGACCACGTGACCACATCCTGTCAGGGACTTGTGAGAGAGAATGAAAGTCTTACCTTTGAGCACAATATCCCATTGCTAGAGCAGAACACTTCCAAGGGCTCTTTTCTCTCTGCCACAGTGAACAGCCATGTTCTGGATGATGGCTACTCGGTCAGTGTGCATGCTACAGAGAAGAGGACATGAGCTAGATCCCGCAGGTGACTCATGAGAAAACAAGCAAGAAATACATATTCGTTGTGTTCATCCACGGAGACCATGGGGGTTTGTTATGGAGCACAACCTGTTCTATTCTGGTGCAAGGACCAGACATGAGAATCAAATGCAATTATAAAAGTCGGATGGAAATATTCTGTCAATATTGAAACTCTACCCAAGGAAGGAATTAGCATCTCTCAATTAGCAAGTGGGTAAAACAATTTGAGAAAACTCGTTCTTAGAAACATTATTTGCAATTATTTTTGAAGTAGAAATCAAACTCTGATATCAGATCTATACCATGGGTCAAATTTGCTGTTAGCTTTTCTGGTCTCGGGCTGGAGAGCAGTCAGCTGCAAGCCTTTGGGGTTGAAGTGTCCAGAAGTGTTAGTGAGGAGAGAAAAGATGTCTTGTTTAGGAATAGGAACAGTGACCATGTAACAGTAGCAGCTCCTTCAGTAAGGAGTAACTATGAGAATGGCCATTTCTTGAGTGCCAGAACTTCATGTATAAAAATGTCTAATCCCTGCATCACCTTGACCCCTTTTCAGAGAGCGAAAGCTTGTCAACGGTCGTATAGAAATAAAGCGCAAAAGCCAGAATTCAAACCAGATCTACTGTAAATTCTGCCTTAGGTTTTCCCAGACAGAGACCCTGAGACAAAGATTCAAGTACAAGTAATGTGTTGGGCAGTGGGAGGTAATCCCGGAGAGGGGAAACAGCCAACAAAGCATGGATTATTATATTAGTTACTATGATGGCAACTGTGGTTTAATCCCAAGGAGAGAAAAATAACACAACTCATGGCCAAGAATTATCACACTCAAGGGCTGAGGGAGCTGGGGTTTTATACACCAACACCTGAGAGTCATTGGTTGAGGACTGCTCCCAGGGGCAGAGTAGCCTGCTGTGGTCTGGGGAATCACAAAAGCCCTCAGGTGCAGAGATGCAGACCATGGCGATTGGCAGTCATCTGGAACTCATGAATGTCCAAGGGTTGTGGGTGAAGATATGATAGCATTTGCTCCAGGCTCCAAACATGAGATCTCCCCACCACAGTACCCAGCTCAGCTCCCTGGGTCCCTGAGACAGGGTGAGCTCCTGGGCACATCCCCCTACTCTTGCAGGTCCCCTCTAGGGTCAGGGAACATCGCCCCCACCCCTGCCCCCACCCTGCCAATCCCCAGGGCTCTAAAGGGTTAAAACTAGAGGCCATTTGGTGCTTAGCAAGTAGACTAAGAAGCTCTTGGATGAAACTATTTTAAATGGGGATAATGGAATCCACTTCCTAGGGTGGAAGTGAGAATTAAATGAGCGCCCGTAGCATTTTTGGACATGTCTGATGTATAGTAAACAGACAAAAGATGTTTAGCTATGATTGTGTTGAGGACAATGTATTGGGCGGGAGAGGATGAAGGGAAGGAACAACAAGAAGAGGAGAGAGGGACAGAGAAGGAATTAAAGAACAGAGACATAAAAAGCTCTTGTCACAATGTATCATTCACATGGTTCTGTCAGATCAGCAAACTGTTGTTCTCTTCCCTTTTCTCAAGGTTTGGGAGTAATATACTTTCTTATCAACTAGAGTAGTGCTAGATAGCTTCCTGCAATGTCTCTAGTTCTCATGTCTACTCAAGGTTACACTCCTGATTGTGACACTGCTGAAAAGATAAGACAAACAATCTGGGGCTGTAATTCTGGGCGCCAGAGCAGCCTAGGATAGGGTGGGGCTTTCCAAAAGGCTTTTTCAGTTGAACCTAGGGCCCAGAATTTCATGTTTCCCTATGTGATAATGCCAGTGTAGAGTGTCCTGGCAGTGTGTGTTTGTGTATGAGTGTGTGTATGCACATGTGTTTCACATGCAGGATGGATATAATTTTAGATATTCTGGAAAATAATTGCTCTTGATTAGGACAAATGGCAGTCACCATTTCCTATTTTCACTACAAGCTGAAGGAGAAAAGCAAAGGCTTACATCACAGAACAGATGTTTCAGATTCAATATAAGGGGAAATTTCTTTTTCAGATGGATTCGATAAACCCTGGAATGGATTGTCAAGGGAAATTTTGAAGCCTCTTTCTCTGGGAGCTTTTAAAAATAGGTTAGATACTCATTGGCCTGAGATAGCTAAAGCACAGTCCTATCTGGAGATGACATGATGCACTGGCTTCCGGATAGGAGTAGAAGAGAAAGGAGACCTTTTTACTGAGGTCTACTGCCTAAGCATTTCATTTCACTTTTTAGAGCATTTCAGCGTAATTGATTTTATCCGATTTAAAAATACATAAATGTTTGTTATTTAAAATTCAGAGAATATAGAAAAATATGAAAGTAAAAATCAAACAAAATCCTATAATTCAAAGATACAGAAAATAACTTTTGGTACATATATATTTTTCAGACTTTTTATATATAACACAGAGCCTCAAAAAAATTATTTCACACTCTGCATGTTTCTGTAATCTTGTTTCCATACTTAGTATATTGTGGATTCCTTTCTATGTCGCTAAGTATTGTTTTGTATCATTTTTGGTAGTGAAAGATTATTCCATGCATATGCATGTAGCATGATTTATTTAGCTAATTTTTTTACTGTGGAGGTTTAGGTTGTTTTTCCTGGAAATTCTTGTACATATGTCCTTGTCTAATTATTTCTTAAGAATAAATTCCTGGAAGTAAAATTGCTGTGTTAAAGGTATGTCTATTTAAAATATTTCTACTTATTGTTAGATTCCCCTCCAAAAAGGTCATATCAATTTACATCACCATCAGAAATGCTTGAGAGAAACTGTTTCCCTTTTTTCTAAATAACATTGACTACTGTCCATAGTCACTGTTTTAAGATACATTTCTTTGAGCCCTATGAAGGTTGAGGTTTTCAAGGTTTTCAATCACATATATTTATTTTGTTACTTGCTTTTTATGTTTTTATCCATTTTTCTACTGAGGGAAGAGAGAGAGATACATATGGATGGATTATATCTACATCTACATCTCTCTATCTCTATCTAACTATATTTTTTCCAAGTTGTCATTTACCTCTACCGATTATGGATATGTTGTACAGAGATTTGCCACACAGATTATGCTTTGGGCTACATTAGTTGTAACTAGAATATAATTACCTTCTGAGATCCTGGCCAAAATTTTGTCACCTGCTTCCGAGCCAGATGAAGTCTCAAGTCACCAGGGAGTACAGGGCAGAGTGTGGGTAGGTAGGTAAGTGCATATTTTACGGAATCAGGTCAGGGATGCCTGTAATTGAAGTCAGAGCCACTAGGCTTGAAAACAGAACAGAAGCCTTCAACATAGAAGCACATGGTGGTGAGTAGAGCAAAAGATGAGAGACGAAGAGAAGGTAGGGAAGATGGTTCTTCAGGGCCAGTTCCTCTGATCCCCTCCATCTAAATGTAACAGCACTGATGGGATTGACCAGTTGATGCAATCAAAATGCCTAAGCCAATAGTGTGTGACAGCCCTTTCAATGTAATATTAAGATAATTGCTTGAAAAGGGTAAAATTCAATCAATCAATCAGGTATTATGTCTACACAATGCTAGATAATCAGATTGATCTGCATTTCTCAAATTGACACAATTAAATTAATATTGTTTTTGTACCACATAGAGATAGCCACGTACATTATCTCTTCAAGTGAAATCCAGGTACCACCTCTCTTGGGAAAGTTGTTTCAATATAGATTGCTGGTCTCCCACCCCAGACCTCCTGAATCAGAATGCCTGGTTCCCAAGTTTTTCTTAAGCAGAGGTTCTCAAACTTAGCTGCACATTAAAATTACCTGGGGGAACTTTTAAATCGCCCAGGCTGACCCCAAACCAAGTGAACTAGAATCTCTAGATGGAAGCAGGGTGGTGGGAAACAATCATCGATATGTTTCAAAGCAAGCCAGATGGTTGTAATGCACAGGTAAAGTTAAGAATCTCTGAGTCAAGTTGCATGGGAGGAGGCAGACATCGGGATATTTTAAAAGCTTCTCGTGGGATTCTAATGTGTAGAAATTACAGAACATACCTTCTGAGAGATGTTACCTATATGAAAGGCATGTGAGCATTCCTTCTGAATTCCTGGAGCTGTTTGCTGCACTAGTGACTCATGGTGAATTTTTGGCTGGTGAAGAACTGCTGTGGAGGGCAACGGGTCTTGTGTCTGTTTATGTGTCTAACACGGCAGTCAGAAAGTCCCTAATGCCCAAATCCTCAATCCGAACGTTTTTCTTGCTTGTAGGTCATGGTCTCCTCCTCTCAGAGCATTCCCAGGTGCATCCTGCCCCCTCCTGCTTTGTTCT